TAGTTTGAAAAATTTTATCTTCTCTCTCCTTCCCTCTCTCTCTTTCTCAAACACCCCTCCGAAATTGAACAAATCACATATATATAATATTTTTTATTAATATTTTATATACGAAAATTATTCACGTGCAACACACGTGATTCATTGCTAGTATCAAAGAAAAATATAACAAAGTATAGAGGAAAATGGTGTTTTGGTCTCACTCTATCTCTCTCTCTCTCTCTCTCTCCACCACAAAAAAAAACCAACAAAACCAAATCTTCTTGCCGTATATATAGACATAAATATATAATTATACACATGTATGATGAATGACTTGTCGACATTTGAGAGTAATGTAGATCGCATTGACTAGCTCATTACTGAACTGTTTGCACACAAATAAAGGTTAGTCTAGTGGCAGTTTAATCACCTCATAAATTTGCCACGAGAATAGATTAAAGGTTTGAATATTCCACGAAGCCTAATTTTTGGTGCTGTAGCCTGTCTTACAAAAAAAAAACATTTTAGTAATTTTCGAAATTTACATATTGGCAATTTGGGTCTTGGGTAGTTAACAGAGCTCTCATAATAGACATTGGCCATTCATTTCTCATCCACATTTTAATACTTTAGCTGTGTGATCTATCTTATATCATTCTCGTAGTGGCGTGCCAAACATTAAAGTTTGACCGGAGGATTTCACACGGCGATGCAAACTCCCTCCCTTATTGAGCACTTATGGTATCTTGCCTGGTGACTGGAACAAAGTAGTTCAACAGGAGAAAGAAGCCAAGGGGCATCCCTCCATTTCTCTTTTCCTTTATCTTAGATTTGGATTTAATTACGGTACCCAAAAAAAATTAATATGGTATTGTACGTCTAACTTTTACCACCGTCATTGGTGTTTTTATAACTTTTATGAGTTATTTTACCTCTTTAATGGGTGTTTTTATAACTTTTATGGGGCTATTTTACAACTAAAAAATTTATCATTTTTGTAGGTGATTTATCACTTTTGTGGGTGTTTTATTATATTTATAATAACTATTTTTACCACTTTTATTTGATACAAAAAAATTTGCCACATTTGTGAGTATTTTTACTATACCTATAAGTGTTTTTTTATCACATTTGTAAATATTTTTTTTCACTATAGTAATCAAATTCCTTGGATTTATTAATCTAGGAGAGAACAACCATTGGGATAAAGTTTCAAGAATGTTAGTGAGACATAACTTATTGACTTATTTTACCGATCTAATTCACTATAATCATTGGATTAATTGTGGATCACATTAAACATTAGAATTTTGTGTTAATATAACGATTACTCTTGTGGAAAAAAGTACGCTTGTGGAAAAAAAAAATGAAAACTGACTTGGGAACGTGTTATAGCCGCCCAAGAATCAATCCAAAACCAAAGACTTCCAAGTCCACGCAGTCTTCTACCAGTACTTTTCTTCTATACTTAACCTCTACTACTTCATCACCATTATACCCTTCAGCTTCATCATCAGTCACCAGACTCACCACAATCATACACCATATCTTTCAAAGCTCATACCACCCATGTTCACCATAACTCTACACATCTCCTTCTCTCTCTACCAGTACTACCACTACTTTTCTTCTATCCATAACCTCTACTTCTTCATCACCATTACCCTTCAGCTTCATCATCAGTCACCAGACTCACCACCATCATACACCATATCTTTCAAATCTGTTTCAAGAAAATTGTGATTATATAGAGTTTGAATTATATTTAATTTTTTGAATTATTTCTATACATGCTGTTCTGCGTCACAGTAAATGTGTTGTTTCAATATCTAATTATTAACATTTTATTTTGATTAAATAGTTGACATATAATAGTATACTTAATAGATTTAAATTTTACTATTAATGGTTAATTCTAATTATATAAATACTTTGGATAACTGTCACTATGTGCCAACCTGAACTTGAACAGGCGAGGTTTGTCATAATTGTTCGATGACAAGTAATAGCTTGGGAATCACGAGGAAACAGTAAAAAAAAGACTCCACCCATAAAACTTACCTTAAACAATAGTTATCAACTTTTGAAAACTACATATCATTTGTAAAAAGTCACGTCACATCTAAGAGAAAAACCTCTAACAATCAAATATTCCTTTAAATATTATTTGATAAGTTTGTTAGGATTGCACCATTATTTTTTAGAAAAGGCACGCATGTACATTGCCTTGGGCCATAAGCAAGAAATCCTAGTCTATAACCTTCTTCTTCCTTAAGCAATACATTGCCAAGGAGCAAAATTTTTTATTACAGTGGATTAAATCAGCTCTTTAGATGAGCGAACCACTTAATTTCTTTATACATTCTTACTCACTTTGCATTACACGTCTAACACACCTTATCAAGAGCTGATTCAGTTTTTCTTCTCATGCTTGTCGATTTTTTATACCATCAAGTATTATAGAATTCACAACTCGGTTAGAAGTAGTAGAACTCAAGCTCAAGTTCAACCCAGTATGAGTTTTCAAGTATATATTGGAGTCGAAATCGAGCTCAACTTTTCAACAAAAGAAAATATAAGAATTAACTGTAGAACTTAGTAATTAATCCTCATGTTATTTTAAACATCTTTCAAAATATATTTAATCAACCATAAAGTTTAATTCTTCAAAAAATCTATTGGAAAAGAGAATGCATATAACCTGGAGTTATTTGTGGCTAGTTTTGGGGTTGTTCACATTTCCAATAGAGTTTGCTTGGTAGTAAAATAAGAATTATGACGGGACTTTAGGCAGTATAGCAACCTCCAAACTGACACGTGAATTGATATAGTCGTTATGGAACTCAAAAGGCGCGGATGAGTTATTACTTAGAAGAGCCGAGTGAGTAGGTTGGGATCAACATTTAAGGAGATATGACAACTCATTAATGAGGACTTGAGTGACTGTGACAGGCCTATTAATGAGTCTCTGCATCCTCAAGACCCCAAACTGACGGTCATGATTGCAGAGCATTAATGGTCATAGCGCCGACCAGGTGTACTCAGCAAACCCTGATGTATTGTACCCCGAGCATTAAAAATTCGAGAATAGGTGTCGAACACCGATCAGAGGAACTTACATGACCGGGAGGTAGTAATAAGTGCTCGGCATGCCTCCGAGCACTTGTCCTATCACCCGAGCATTGAACGCTCACGAGAATCTGAGTGTAGAACATTCATTACGCGTGGAGAAGAGTGCAAGTCATTAAATGTCGTGATGGGACTCAAGACCCTTTCATTCATTAGTGGTACATGTATAAATACCTCTCAGAAAGATGAACAAAGATACGCAAACTAAACGGAGAAAAAGATATACTATGCTCAACCCTCCAAACGTATATTGACTTAAGCTTAGGAGGAGATAAGTCGGGTGATCACCCGGCCCCTTTTCTGACCTCTTAGTTGTTTTAGGTTCACCATCGAGAGGATTGTTATCTCTATTCATTGTTAAAATTCTCCTGTGCTAAATTATTTATAGATAAGAACCCTATTTGAGTCGAGCTGAATTTTTTTTTGAGATATATGTTACTCAACTTTGATTTGTTTTTTTAAAGGAGTTCAAAATTTTGATTAAAATTCGGTTTATTTAATGATATTAATAAGTTAAAAGTGAGGCGGACTTGAACTTCTCAAATCATATAACAAGCCTAGCTAAAGAAAAACCTACCTCAAACAAATATTGGGTTAAAGACCATAGTAGCCTAGCCACATTTTTATTCTTTCTCCCAATATAATGTAATAGCCCGAAATTATCCAATATCCGCTCACTTTAACTCTCATATATTTTTCATCAATTTTTTGAATCATAAACCATTAATTATGAATTTAAGTGGCATTCAAAATATATAAATGAATCAATCCAAAAATTTCTAAGTCCACGCAGTCTTCCCCATAAGCTCTTACCACTCACCACCATCAAACACCTTCGCTATCAAACATCAAACCATGCTCATCTCTAATACTATTTGGGTCTAATCATATTTTTTATTCTTTTTCGTTAAAAATTGTAATTGTTCAAAATTGCCAGAATTCACTCATTTAAGTAGGATTTGGATTCTCGTAGTTTTTTTCAATTTCTATTAATAGTAGATCACTCTTCATAAATTTAAAGGGGAATCACATAATACAAATGAATCGTGCAGGGGCGAATCTAGCATGGGACAATTGTCCCTACTGCGGTTTTAAAAATTTTTGCAGTCTATTTGAAAATTTGAGAAATTTAGCATTATTTAGAACTTGCCCTGATTGAAAGTTTGTAAAAAAATTGTTGAACTTCTCATACAACTCTTTATTTAATCTCTAATTTTTTCTCTTCCTTTGCAACTAACGATGGCATTCGAATCATGTGATGGGACTTCGAATTTGAGTCGAGTATTAATTAATTCTAAAATAACTCATGTAATTAAGTATGTTAAGTGTGTTAACACTAATCCAGTCTGTTTATTAATTTTGTCAAGCACTAGAAGCCTTCTCTTACAACCAAACCTACCACCCATAAGTTGTGATAGATTCTTAGCACAAATAAGCTTGTCATAGATTCAACTTTTTCCATTAAAATTTATCATAGATTCAATTTGAATATTTATAATCCTTATAAGTTGTTTTTTTTTTTTTTTTGAAATCTAAGTTTATTAAAAATTAAATGTTGTAATACTAAGTTTTGAGTTGAGCTAAACAAATTAATTGTTAAATGAGTTGTGGATAAATTTGTTAATAAAAAAATAATTTTAAAACAAATACTTTTAACATTATTATATTTAATTCATATAAAATTTAATTGTAATTATGTATATATCATGTATAAGTCAAGGTTCTCAAGTTCATATTCATCAAAAATAGTATTAGGCACACGTTAACCAATCCAAAGACTTGGAAGTCAAAGTCGTCCTCCCTGAATATTTTTTTCTCTGAATATATTTCAAGCTCCATTTCAAATAGTGGAACAGTTCATTACCATTACCTTTTTTAGCTTCATGACCATGATCAAGATCAGTCACCACCATCAAACCCCTTCTCTTCCGAAGCTCAATCCCATGCTCATCTCAACTCTCCAACTCTCCTCCTTTCTCTGCCTCCTCCTCTCCACCACCATCACCGCCGCCGCCGTAGATGACAACAGCCCCTGGCTACCTTACACTCCCACCGACTACATTCTCCTCGACTGTGGTTCATCTTCTAACACCACCGACGCTAGCCTCCGGAGCTGGGACGGCGATGTCCGCTCACAATTCTCGCCGTCGAACATTGAAAACACGTCGTCGAATGCTACATCCTCCAAGTCTGTCATTCAAGTGCCCTACAAGACTTCTCGTATCTTCCACTCTCAATTCACCTACTCATTCCCAGTCTCTGCCGGACCAAAATTCATTCGTCTCTATTTCTACCCAGTTAATTACTCTGAGCTCGATATTACCAACTCTTTCTTCTCCCTCACTTCCAACGACTACACCCTCTTAAACAACTTCAGTGCCTTCCTCACTGTCTCCGCCATGAAACCCGCAGTTGCTTCCCTTATAAAGGAGTTCATCGTCAATGTTAGGGACAACCAGATACTGAATATAACCTTTTGGCCTTCTCCGAACTCTTACGCCTTCGTTAATGGCATTGAAGTCGTTTCAATGCCAGAAAATCTCTACATTCGCGGCAATGATCATCCAATCCCACAAGTGAGCGACAACCAAAGATTTTATATTGATTACAACCCTGCTCTTGAGACTCTCTATAGATTAAATGTTGGCGGTAATGAGGTCTCAATAACCAATGATACGGGAATGTTTCGATTATGGAGTCCGGACGACGATTACACCTACGAAGATTATGGGTTTACACCTCACAGGGACGTCGCAATCCGATATAGACAGGAGACACCACCCTACACTGCACCGAAGATCATTTACACAACCAGAAGGACCATGGGCAACGACAGTTTAAGATACAATCTGACATGGAAATTTCCTGTTGATTCTGGGTTTTATTATCTTCTCAGACTCCATTTCTGCGAGATTCAATTGGAGGTGACCCTCAAGAACCAAAGGGTTTTTATAATATACATCAACAATCAAACGGCACAGAGAGGAGCAGATGTTATCCAGTGGAGTGGTGGCACTAGAATCCCAGTGTTCAAAGACTACGTCATCATGGTCACCGACCCAGATGGTCGCCAGAGCAAGCAAGACTTGTGGCTCGCTATGTACCCTGAGCTCGACTTTAGACCCGAGTACGCTGATGCTATATTGAATGGTTTAGAAATCTTCAAATTGAATAGAACAGACGGTAGTCTGGCGGGGCAAACCCTGAACTTGTACTCAGTCCACCGTCGGGACCATTCACCTTGTCACCGCAGAAGAAGAACAATAAAGAAACACCTAGGTGGGCGGTCATTATCGGCACCGTAGTCGGAGGAGGGTCTGTTCTAGTCTTGATCTTAGGTTTCTTGATTTTTCGACGACGGAGGAGAGTGAAAGCCTTGGGCTCAACACAGCCCAAGTCGTCGTGGGTCCCCTTATCTGACCGTTCAAAGTCCACAAAAACCAGCGGTTCATCACTACCGTCTGATCTATGCAGACGCTTTTCACTTGAGGAGATCACATCAGCTACATGCAACTTCGATGACAATTTTGTCATCGGGGCAGGAGGATTTGGTAATGTGTATAAGGGCCACATCGACAACGGTGCAACCACCGTTGCGATCAAACGATTGAACCCATCATCAAATCAAGGGGCCCGCGAGTTCCAAACAGAGATTGGTATGCTATCGAAGTTACGCCACCTCCATCTGGTGTCGTTGATCGGTTATTGCAATGACAACCGTGAGATGATCTTGATTTATGATTATATGGCCCGCGGGACCCTCCGTGATCATCTTTACAAATCAAAGAAACAACCCATTCCGTGGAAGCAACGCCTTCAGATTTGCATTGGCACTGCAAGGGGACTACATTATCTCCACACAGGTGCGAAACGCACGACCATTCACCGCGATGTGAAGTCCACCAATATTTTATTGGACGAGAAATGGGTGGCTAAGATTTCTGATTTTGGATTATCCAAACTGGGTCCCATAGATGCAGGCCATAACCACGTCAGCACAACGGTGAAGGGTAGTTTCGGATATTTGGATCCAGAATATTATAAACGACAACAATTGACAGAGAAATCGGACGTGTACTCATTTGGGGTGGTTTTATTTGAGGTTTTATGTGCTAGGCCGGCTATAATTCTAGATTTACCCGAGGATCAAGTGAATTTGGCTGAGTGGGCTCGCCATTGTTATAAAAATGGGACCCTTGATCAAATTGTTGACCCTAATATAAGGGAGGAGATTGCGCCAGAGTGCTTGAAGAAGTTTGGCGAATTAGGTGATAGTTGCTTGCGTGAAAATGGGTTCAAACGACCAGGAATAAATAATGTTTTGTGGGGCCTTGAGTTTTCTTTGCAACTTCAAGAGGAGGCTGAGATGAAGGGTCAAGGTGATGGTGGTGGTGGAGGTGGAGGTGGAGGTGGATTACTACCGGTAGCGTTGGCCAGTCCCTTGACTCCTCCTCTGCATGGAGAATCAATGACCGACAATGATGAAAATGTGTTAAGATCAATGACTAACAGTGACAAATTAAAAAATATGACTCTGTTCTCAGAGATCATGAATCCTATGGGTCGATGAGAAGTGAAATGTTCTTGGGGTGGGTCCTACGTGAGGTTCCAGATTTTTGGTCTTCACTTTGATTGACTTTTGAAAAGTAAGTATTTTATGCCATTTAGCTTATATTAGTGGTCTTCTTGTTTGAGTTATTTACCGCAATATAATTGTTTTTTAAACTTATTTATCTATACACAATACTTTTCAACTTATTTATTAAATTACCATATTGTTTAAAAAAGTGAGATTATTGATCTTGTTTCTAGTTGTAAAGTTGCAGTAGAGTTTTGAATTTGAACTTTTTATATTTTTTTATATATCTAAATATACACAGCGTGTACAGTCTAATTGTCCGACAATATCTCAGTGATAGAGTTTGAATAATTCTATAACTCAACATTCAAAAGTATATGACAGTTGAAGTTTATGAGGATTAGACTCATCCTCCTGTTGTGTAGCAGACTCAATCACTCAAAATATCTTCTTCAAAACTGTTTTACAATGGAATTGTTGACTCCTTTTTTTTTTATTTAAAAAAAATAGATTATATTGTTACAGAAATTACGGAGTCCTATATTGAGGACAATTTTAGCAGTTTGTGTGAAACAAAAAAATTGCTCTAATACAACGATTTAATATTTCTATTCAGCATCAACGAACATTGTTTTTTTCTTTAAGCAGCAAAGAAAGTCGACTTCACTCTGTTTAGCATCAACAAATTGATGGTAAGGATTTTGTTTATTATTTTTTTATTTTGCTTAAACCCCCCAAAACTTA